AACAAGATATTTTCTCCAAAAGGATAGTGTTTTTTTTTCTTAATGTGACAGTGTGTTATAATCAAGTAATACCCAATTTATCGCGCACGACACGTATCCGCAGGAAACGAACTTTTAAGAATTTAATATATTCTAAGTGGTGTAGATCTTCATCCTTTACCTTGACAAAATCTTAAAGCGACTAAATTGTGCATTGAAAGAACACTAACGTTCCGAGAAGTATCAAAACAAGCAAACATCTACATTTTGTGTCTTTTGTATTTTTATGTTAGTTGTTTTTGTGCTCCATGACGATCTGACGCGTCATACCATTTCCAACTGATTTTTACAGTTTGCTTTTATGTTGTGCTGTTACACCACTGTCCTATGTTAGGGAAGGGTTGAGTTTTCCTCAATCATGCATGTTTAACCCCGCCACATTCTTTATCTACCTATCCTTATTCAGGTGCCTGTAATTCCGTGGTTGTCATTGGCTGACATATTTTTTTTTCGTAAATTGTATTGTTATAAAGTAGGCCGTTGGTTTTCTCGTTTGAATTGTTTCAAAAGCTTCATTATTTGAACTTTGATGGATAGTTGTCTCATTGGCATTCATACCACCATTTATATGGGTGGACAATTATCACTGAAAGCTAAATTTTTGTACAAAAAACACATCTACTACAATGTGATACCTACAAAAGCAGTATTACTTTTTAATTTATTCTGTATATAGACTTCATTTGAACTTTGGTGGATAGTTGTCTCATTGGCTTTCTACATTTTATATAGAATGTTACATAATTAAGTCCCCCTTGGTAAGGTCGTTCCTAGTATCCAATATTTGATCTCAGATAGAAAAAAAAACTCATTGGTATTTGTATCTGTTAACAAAAAAGATGACATGAAAAAAGAAACAGTTAATGCTCATGAAAGCGACTCTGAATTTCTCCTAACAGAGTTGAACTGATGGCTGCTGTTTCTTTACTCAACGGTTAACTTTTTGAAATGAACGAGAAAATTAAAAATAAAATTTAGAAAACCTATTACAGTCACCTTTGTTTACTTTATATATCATAAGTATGCAAGCCATGTGACATGACCAATACAATAATGATATATGTAATCTTGGTAAAAGTTATCATACACAAATACTAGTAGTGTGTACTTGATATAACTGATATTGTTTAGCCTGTCGTAAGTAGAATTCTATATAGATAAATATTTTAATGTGAGACATATTTTTGAACTAATTCATGAAAAAATCTATTGCGTTTGAAGTAAAGGGTTGTTAGAAACAGGTATTTCATTTAATGTAATGATGATTAAATACAGTCAGAAGTATATTCCATTTTTCGGTTTCATCTCCAGAACATACGGGTCTATGATTAAAGCATTTGTATAAATGTAAAAGTTTATATAGATATATAAAAGAACTTTTCGTTCACTGTTTCTCAAATTTTTTTAGAAAGAAAAAAATATTTAATTGTGATCTTTTAGTTTACTATTTAAGACCTTACCAGTATACGTACAGATAAATAACAGCCTAAAAAGCGTCTTTCCTTAAAAATTTTGATTTTCCCCAGTATTTAATGATTCATCGACATCCACCACATTATGTTTTTTCCAATTTATAGTTTTGTCAGAGACATGTCATAAATTTTGAAAAAAAACATACGCAATATAACAAAAAGAATTTAAGGCTTTATTGGTCAAGGAATATTATTATTTATGTTGTTTTTTTTTTTCATTTTGCAAGAATTCAGCTTTTAAAAAATGAGAGTAGTTTTCACCTTGGCAGCAATGGTTGTTCTTTGTGAGTATGTCACAGCATGGTTTGATTATGGTGGTAAGTTTATAGTATAAATCTTCTGAAGTTTTTGTGGAATTCATTGATACTTTAGATATGTAGATTCTGAGTGATTTACAGTTCGACAAATGGTTTCGACGCTTGCCTTTCAATGACGACCGTATGTTAACCTCTTGATCTCTTTACCGGATTATAAGGTTGCTGTCTCGTCTACTTTTGACAAACTCTTACCGTCTCCAACTAAATCTTGTTTTCCAATTTCATTCTATCAGTGCCCAATGAAAATAAAAGACAAAATTAAGAATGATCTAATATTCGATGTGAATTCGGAAAATACATTACACTGGGTATTTGATTTCGCAGTAGAGCATGTCATAATATAGAGCCACAGTATCCCTTGACGAATTGAACTGTAATAAAATCCAGAAAAATGTGGTGTTGACACATATAAATCAATAAAGAGAGATTACGTGATTGCAATCGAGCCGACTATCCGCTTAATCAAAAACGAAAGACATGTGCATATCATATTCAACCGACTCAGGTTACTTTATAAGGTCTACTCAAGCCTCGTGCAGGATTTTTGTTATGTTGCCTAATAAAGTAGATCTGACATACCTAAAATGTCCTTATCTTCTAGTGGCAGTCATAATCATACCACTCTTTTTCATACAGTAATGTCTGACTCAAATTGTAGACATGTGTCTTATATCATGCCCGTAGACCAGTTTTAGTTAAATATATTTATTGCGATATGAATTTAAATCAGAAATAAACAATCCCCAAAAAGTATACCAATTTCCATTCAACTAGTTAAACTTAGTTTTATATACTTGAACGGCTAAGTTTTACTATAAAACAAGTGTACGTGAACTTTCTTGCTTGTAAAAGAATATCCTTTATATCATAAAAATCTTCATAAGTGTGCTGCTATTGAATTATTATCTTCCTGTACACTAATTTGCCAAAATTTTCTTGTATACAGTGACCTTAACTTCGAGACCTCTCGTTAGAACTTCGGCCACCGCACAGCGCAAGTGCGAGGGCAAGGCCATGATGAAAGAATGTTAACAAACGTGCACTGGAAGGTAAAAAGTAGTAATAACTGATTTTGAAAGAACAAATTTAATACAACAAATCATTTAACAACTGTTAGAGAAAAGTTTAATTAAAAAATGGGAACGCATGGAAAATATAACAAATAAATATCATGGCGCTATCACTACACTTATTTGTCACGCGCTCAACATGCCCTGTGTTGATTGTTTATCAATGCCACGATCCGGTAAACTTCGGCAACAAACTCGAAAGTCAATTAGCTTGCGATCATCAATCACTGAATGAAATGCTATGTAATTATAGATACAATGGATAAGCGTTGATTCTTAAAAAAGAAACCATGAGTCCGGAGGGCGAATGGTTTGTTTTTCATGAATCAACGCTTATCCATTGTGTATCTAACTTAAAGTATTGTTCTGATGTCTTTTCACAATTAAAGACTTTTCATGATTATAAGGTATTGTAAGTGAGTTAATTTAAATAACCATGGTGTTTTATTATACATCACGTTAAAATGCCAGATTTTGATTGGCTAATACGAGGGAGATAATTTACTATATCCCATGGCTGAGCGGGAGACAATTTTTTGAATGTCACCCTCTCGTGCAGACCAATCAAATATCATCGATAGTTTAAAGGACAATAAATTGAATTTACATCAAACAATTAAAGACAATGCTCAAGTTTTACGTTTTGGCTCAGAACTTTTTCATAGACTCAACATAATGAATATAAACCACCATGCTTCACTTCTGTTGATTTTTCTAATAACTGTAACGTTGTAATGTATACTTAAAATTTAAAATTCAACAGTAAAAGACAATAATGATAGGACATTCAGTATAATAAATTAAATAACACATAGCTGAAAGGGTGATAGAGCAGATTGGTACCCCTCGAAAAAAAACATTGTCAACCTTGGCTTCGCCTCAGTTGACAATGTTTTCTCGGGGTAACAATCTGCTCTATCACCCTCTCAGCTATGTGTTATTTATATAATGTCCAACGATGCATTAATAAATCAAAGTTCACAATTAATCGGTTAGAGAAATACAAATATAACATATAACACGTCCGTCTTTAAATTATTTTGCATCTGAATATTATCCGTAATTTACAAAATAAGACATATTCGAACTCATTTCTAAGTTAATCTGATATGTATAATTTTCACTGAACTAGTACACATTTTTTAAGGGGCCAGCTGAAACCCACCTCCGGTCGCGGGATTTTCTCGTTGTGTTGAAGACCCATTGGTGGCCTTGGGCTGTTTTCTGCTCTTTAGTCAGGTTGTTGTCTCTTTGACACATTCCCCATTTCCAAACTCAATTTTATGTTACCGAAATTTCTAACAAGAAACCTAATACTAGGCACATCACGATTTACTCGCATAGGGATTTGCGAATAATCATTTGTAAAGATATGCAGTAAAACAAATGAAATCATACTATATTTATAAAACAAAAATTCGTAATAAATATACAATAACATGCAAACATGCACCTTTAACAATAACTTTACCTTTGGTTAAAACCTTTATTTATATTTCAATTGTCCTTAATACTGCTAACGTATGGTCATAATTTCAATGCGCGCACGACAAGTTTTTCTTAAATTAGTTATTTTAGTTTGAAGCATAATACCTAAAAAGTTACATAAATGTTTATTTAACATTTAAAATCAAAATATCATTTTTTTAGTATTGATGTAATCTGACCTTTTATGCTCATGTTTCTTTTAAGTAAATATACAAATCGACTCAAAAGAAACTTAGCTCCGTGTTGAAGACCGTACTTTGACCTATAATGGTTTACTTTTATAAATTTTGACTTGGACGGAGAGTTGTCTCATTGGCACTCATACCACATCTTCTTATATCTATTAGACATGTAAAATTTGCAGAAATGTAAAGCACACGTAGATGTTCTCTTTCTGGTTCTTTTGTCAGCTCATTGTCATACTAGATATCTTCATTTCTATGGTGAATTATATTGTTGATTTTGCAAAAATGAAATATAGCCCTTAACGTAACGTAATACACGATGAAAACTTTTAATTTATATATAATGTCACTAGTGTTCGAAATCATTTGATAAAAAAACATTAAAAAGGGTTATATTCTATATTTCAGTTCACTTTGGTGATTGTTTTACCGTTAATGATGCGACTGAGGACCACTCGTACCAATTGTCTTGGAGCGGTTATGATCACTTTAGCGGTTGTAAGGTTTCTTTCCATGGTTATGATTCGGATAATCCATTGGACCAGTATGAAATATGCGTAAAGGCAACAACGTGGAATATTGTAGATTCAGGAGTTACTCTGAAATATTACAGCGGAAGTCTTGCCACCTATCTAGAAAAGGTATGATGCATGATGACCTTTGCCTACATTGAAGAGTTGTGTGCAAATTTCCATTCGATCATTAACAACCTCACATACATGATTTTACGATCCCAATAAAACATATAAAGAGCTTTTCCAGTACTTAATTTTATTGTATGTTCTTTTATGCACCTGTTGTTAGTCCACTAATCGATATTAAAAGTAAGAAGGTTCTGATCCCTTAATGCAAGTTTAACCCCGCCATATATTCTTGTGCCTGTCAAAAATCTCAACAGTGGTTGTCTTATGTCATATCTTTTAAGTCCTCTTAACCCTTTCGGCGCCAAAACGACATTTTTGTCGTTTACCGCTAGCACGCCAAAACGACATTTTTGTCGCTTTTTAGCAGAACCCACAAACCATTAAAAATGTATATAAAAAACATAATTTTACTGCCGAAATCACAATAGGCTTGACGAAAAATAACTGACTTTGTTCTGTTATACAAGAATAACCATAAAAGTCACAAATATATATTGAATTTTCCTAGTTGAAAACAATTTTGTTAGAGGTAACGTGCAAATTTTTACACAAGCTATACTCCAATTTACGGAAGCGTATTAGCGCCGCACAACTTTTTTTTAAATATTTCTTCCTATGTTTGCGTTATAACGCAAACATTTGCGTTATAACGCAAACCTTTAAACGCAAACCTTTGCGATATAACGCAAACCTTTGCGATATATAACGCAAACCTTTGCGAAATAACGCAAACCTTTGCGTTATAACGCAAACCTTTGCGATATAACGCAAACATTTGCGTTATAACGCAAACATCTTGATTTCAATTATTCATTAAGTTTTGTATATTTGTCCGTCTGTCATTAATTTCGGTTGTGATTTACTAGTAGATAGGAAAAGAACAATAATACAAGGGCAACTCATTATAATAAATATGTATAGGAATAATAGAATACTTGAAGTGCAATAATACATAAATTAAGAATGATTTGTGCATCAGAAAAGTATATAATTTAACAAGAAAATAGATATGGTATAGGCATATTTTAATTGAAAGAGCAAAACTAATGTCATACATTTGTAAAACTTTCAAGTCTTTCAAGTCAAATAGACAAAATGATCTTTCTGCTTTAACATGAATTATTAATAAAGAAACATTTTTTTTAAAATTTTGATGCAAGATTTTTTTTAAATCTCAGAATATGATTAAGATTCTTTGATAGAAATTCATGGAATTTTCATTTCAACCTAGTGAAGTAACTTTAAGATACTTGGGTAGCAATTTAAATGTAGAGAACATAATTTTTATTAATAAAACATCTTCATTTTTATTGCAAAAAGGTAGCTTGTTTGGTCAATGGATCTAACCAAACTTACACAATCCTCAAACGAGAGCTTACTTTTGAAGTATATTTATATATGGCTATAGCTATATTAGCAGGGTTGATTTTTTATATTCTTCGATACAACTTCAATTTACTCAATTTTCTTTGTAATATATATACATGTATTATCATGTATATAATTTTTGGGGTCCTGTATAGCTTGCTGTTAGGTGTGAACCAAGGCCCCGTGTTGAAGTCCGTACTTTGACCTATATTAAATGGTTTGATTTTAGAAATTGTGACTTGGATGGAGAGTTGTCTCATTGCCATTCATACCACATCTTCTTATATCTATTATCCTACTCATTATTAGTCAATGATATGTTCTAAATATTCAAGCATTTTTCTTTGTTATGAGTACAAAGGAGGATACATTTTAATGTATGCAGCCACCTCCATTTATAACTGCTGCTTCCTTTGAATCTTAAATAAGAAATAAAATAAAAAAAGATGTTTGCGTTATTTCGCAAAGGTTTGCGTTATAACGCAAAAGGTTTGCGTTATTTCGCAATGTTTGCGTTATAACGCAAAGGTTTGCGTTATATCGCGAAGGTTTGCGTTATAACGCAAAGGGTTGCGTTATTTCGCAAATGTTTGCGTTATATCGCAAAGGTTTGCGTTATAACGCAAAGGTTTGCGTTATTTTGCAAAGGTTTGCGTTATATCGCAAAGGTTTGCGTTATATCGCAAAGGTTTGCGTTATAACGCAAAGGTTTGCGTTATTTCGCAAATGTTTGCGTTATAACGCAAACATAGGAAGAAATATTAAAAAAAAAAGTTGTGTGGCGCTAATACGCTTCCGTACCAATTATAAACTTTGTATGCCTTTATTTATTAAATTTACTTAGTGGAATTAGTTCACATGGTTGACATTAAAAAAAACAATTGTTATTTTATTTTCAAATTGTAACGTTTATCCGAATGACGTCATCAAACTGGTGCTGTGTGTGACGTTTGTGCGTAATAATAGTGGCAGGTTCTTGAAATTACTGGTAACGTTTTGTAATAAAACCATTGTATTTTTACTGATTTTTACAATGTGAAGTGTTACAGATTTCAAATCGTTCGATAATTGATATCACAGTTTGATTTCTGAAAATATATTCAATAAAAACTGGTTTTTTTTCAAATTTTGGAGGCTAGCTCGGCAGATAAAGTCGGTCGAATTCTGGAATATCTGTTTTTGAATGCACTATTTTACCCAACATATTTCATGAGAAACTTACCCATTAGCTGTTGGTGTAAACATATGTTGACTTCATTAGTATTAAAAATACCAAAATATTAAAGTTATTAATAACTTCGACAATGTCTTTTAAAACAATTTCTGCGAAAAGCCAAATCATACCCTGAATTTTTTATTTATCATTCTAATACTTGATGATCATGGCATACAATTTTCATACTCCGCCTTAATTGTTCATGCGTCCCACTTTGTTGTCAATTCAATGTTTGAAAACATGTTCTATTTTTAGTTAAGATCGTGTTTTGAATAACATATCCTTTATTTTTTTATTTACTTTTTGTCTTTTGTCATTGTGTTAGGTTTTTTTTTGTGCTGGTCCAATTCTGACAAGTCAAACGTTTTTCAAATATTTTTTGCTGTTTGTTCTAATGTTATACTGGTACACGACACCGACAGTTCAAGGTTAGAAGAGGGGATCAGCGCCTACAAAAATATACTGAACTTTTCCAAAGCCTGGAAGAAGCCTTTGGTCAAGTGGTTGTCGTTATAACCCTTTGTTTGTCATGTTTGTTTTTCGACCCTTCAATGCTAAAAGCTTAACATGTCGTGAACTTTCTCACTCTAACTGTTTCACATTGAATTACATGAAGGACAGTCTTGCATACATAAAAGAGAGACGAAATATACCTTAGGGATAGTCAAACTCACAAGTCGAAAACAAACTGACAATGCCATGGCAAAACACGAAAACTGACCAAAAGACATTTAACAGTACACACACAAAATAGAATACTAAAGACTGAGCAACACGAACCCTACCAAAAACTGGGGGAGATCATATATACAAAACTATTGTTAAAGGCAGTACGACGACCCGTAGTTTATAGCCTTGTCCTGATGTCTTTGGTGGCTATAGGTGTCTATTTGTAACCATACCTAATATCATGACTTTCATATCATAACGGACTTTTTCAAAATTATACTGGTACCAAAAGAAAATTATGAATTGTTTACTTTCACAACCACAATTGTTTCACAGTAACTAATGAAAAACGATATATAAACACGGACGGCAGTGCATGATTCTATGCAAAAGTTAAGCTAATACTAGTACTGAAAATTCAAATCCAACACACAAAATTGATATACGAACTTTTATACAGAAGTTATTAACAGCATGTAGATTTTTTCAGTCCATCTGGTCCATTAAAACTATTAAACTATTGTCAGCATTTTGAATCTTTTTTTGTTTTTGTTTTTTGTTTTGTTAGTAGGAAATATTAAACAAGACTCTAATCTAACTACTACGTATGACTATATATGAAAAAGATCAAGATATAATCAATAGAGCTAAGGAAAAGAGATACAAGTATACAAAATATAATTGGGCCTTTCTTGTAATTCCGAGACCACAGTGTTGTAAGAAATGTTTCCGTTTGGCTTACAAAAATCCAAATCTCGAGGGAGCGAACATTCGCTGCACCACGTCCTCATCGTGATCATCTAGTCCAATACATGTAGTTTTTTTTAAAATTTTATGTGAAAAGCTTTCCTTGTGGTGGAACCTGAATATTGCATATAACAAAGCATTTTTTTCAGTTTTAAGAACATACAAGAAAGGGTTGATTAATTCATGTAATTTGAAAATGTCCATTCTTGTAAAAAGAGTTTTATTTCAAATTTTTCAACTGAAAAATAAAGGGTCGTCTAAAATCGTCTATTCTGCCCACAAGTGCATTCTTCTATCTAACTTTGTCGTTAAACAAGGGATGGGATATGAGGACTGTTTCAACCCGGCACCATTTATCTGTGTCAGTCAACGGCGGATGTTTTCACTCATGTCAGAGTTTATTTATTGTCCCAGTCGTTGTTTTCGTTAATATTTGAGTGTTTTCTTTTATTGTCCAAGAGGTTGTGTTCGTTAATATCCGACTGCTATATTTTATTTTAGGAAATGAATGCCGATAGCAAATTTTAGTGGTCTTTGATAATTCATTCACAGACTATGTATACCTTATCCTTTTGGTGTTTGAAATATTGTATAATGTCCGACTATCTTTTAAGACTGTAAGTTGACCTCTATATATCTTTGTTAGTTGTTTGTGTCCTGGAGTTAAAGTCTCATTTACATCGAGTCCGCATCTCTGTTTAAAATTGGAGAAAGGTTTTTGAAGTAACCAGTTTGTGATTATGTTTGTGCATGTATCAAATCAAATTCAAAAACTTAAAGAATCAACCACAGTCAAAATAAAGAACGTCGTCCGTAATTATGATTATAACTATTGATACCAAAATACCTCTTGTATTTCGTACTTCAAACTAACCATGTACTAGTTTTGAAAAATAGATACTACATCATAAAGTAGGAAGCAATGAAAAAAAGATAGTTACAGCATTTTGGGCCATATCGATTTTTACCGAAATTCCTAAATGAACTCTTGCCAAAAGAGTGTGTCTCTAAGATTAGATAGTTTCTCCTCATCATCTGCCTATATCACACCATTGAAAAAGGGACTTATATAAGATTTCCGATGCCAATGATCGCAACAAGAAATAGAAAATAATTTTATGGACAGGCCTCATTTCATGACAAAACTGATTAAAGTCGGACATGTATTTTACACAGCAAAGGATTTCTTTAACCTGTACCTATAATTGTGTTCATAACACTTAAATATCATCTGTAAAAATCAGCTTACTCATGAAAGGGTCAAGACAGTTTGAACCACAGATAAACATCAAATTAAGACATTAAATAATGCATAAAAAAATACAGATTTAGCGAAATTAATGGAACTTCGCATTCCTTTGACATGTAAAATATTGACTTGAAAACAAAAAAAAATAGAAGATCAGTTTAGGCTATACATAAAAAGAAGCAAAATTGATGCTAAAATTTCACTACTACTGGTTTAGTCAGACAAGTGACATTCCTCAAAACCAAATCGGCAAATAACAATGAAGGATAAGTCACACAATTGTAATGCAAAAGTAAACTTATTTCAGATTATACATTATCAGAAAAAAGATAAGTTATTGTTGTGAATATTCATGAAATATTTGCCGCTAAACGCAGTTGTCATTCGATTTATTGATCAATCAGTTAAGACTTTGATGGTTAAATCATAAATCATTAAAATGCTATATACTAGTATCCCGATTTTTGTGGTAATGTATAGTACAAAGTGTTAAGTCGGACTCTTCATCTACGGTGCTTTATAAAAAAAAAAAGACCCGCGCCAACTATGAAGATGAGAACACTGCTCGTCTTTTGAATCCCTCGATGATATCAAATCTTGCATGATCCTTTATATCAAAATACATTAATTGAGCTATATTTTCTTCAATATATCTTTATTGTTTGTAATATTTATCATATTATTAAAACCTTTATCTATTTCCATATTGTCGTGTTTTTTTTTATAGTATTCTAGAAAAAGAAATAGAAATGTAATAAAAAAACTTCGATCTCCAACCCAAAAATTAAAAAAAAATCACTGAATATACGCAAGGTCCGCTACGTGTACTCAAATTAAAAGATAAGTCCCGAGGATGTTGGATTTCCCCGAATGTATGAGATGTCCAATTAATCGATTAACGAGGATAACGTGCATGTGCTTGTAGGTAATGTGTTGTTGTTACGTTACGTATCGTTTATAGTAACGTCATTCATATATGTATGGCAACGTAACAATGTGAAAAAACAACGTCTCGGCGCTCAAAGGGTTAAGGGCATACGATACAGTTACAGGAGAGGTAATGACGTTGCTAACGTAAATTGTTATTTTTTCTCGACGTCAAACTGTGACATATCGGGAAAAGATGCATTTTTCGACTGATTTTAATCATTAGCTTGAAAACGAGTACATGGACCCCTCTTTTTAAAACTGACATTTGGCTTCATTATGAATGAAGATTATTTGTACCAATTTTTATGAACAAATCACCGAACCGATGAATGTTTTCTTAAATTAGATAGATATATAGCACAAAATGTCCGTTTTTCCTAAAATAATGAAAATTTAATAAAAATGAATTATTTCCAAAGAATTTTTACACAAATCATAAAAGAGTACACTTATATAAAGAAGATATTCCTAATGTTTTTACAAAAATCCGCTTGTGTTTTCCTTTTAAAACAAAAATGTTCGATATGTCTGCCCAAAGGATATAAATGTCCATGAAACCGAAATTTTTAGTAAATGTCTGAAATTTCGTCCTCATTTATCTCTAAAAATAGCACATGAAGGTATATATTTTATTACATATATGAATTGACAAGGTGAAAAACAGCTTTTATATAGATTAGACCGTTGGTTTTCCCGTTTGAATGGTTGTCTCATTGGCACTCATACCACATCTTCTTATATCAATTTATGCAAATTTTAGTAAAAAATTCAACGCGGGGTCCAAACTGTATCGTATGCCATTGATGTTTTATTTTGTTGCTAGTTCACATATATATATATATAAAGCGGAAAGTGAATTATTCAAAGTTTGAAGACCATTTTTGAACGTGTCTATCCCATTGAACTTGAAATAAAGGATATCACAGATAAAGTTAAGTCTGCATCATATCTTGACTTACATTTAGAAATTGACAAGAAAGGTCGGTTGAGGAAAAAAGGGAGGATTTCCACTTCCCAATTGTGAACTTTCCATTTCTATGTAGCAACACTCCATCATATATCTCCTAAATGATACGATATTCCAGAGCTTGCGTTTCGTTTACAAGGAAACTATTAAATCAAGGTTTCCAATAGGTATAGTTAAAGTCCATCCCTTCGAAAATTTTATGGACGCCATCACGAGTTGGTTGACCGCTATGGAATATGGTTATGTTCCAATAGTCATAACCATAATATCGTCCTCTTTTCCTCGAATGTGTACTTACATGAGTGCCACGACAGCGCCATTTGGAAAAGGGTTTTCTAACTCTGCGGGTTTTATGTTGCTCAGTAATTCCTTATTTTGTGTCATGTAATGCTCTATATGATCCTGTGAAATATACTTGAATTTAATTTAAAAAAACATCAAATCTCATCTGCTTCAGACATACTCTAGAAGTTATGGTGATCCAACATATAAATGGTGTGCAGATCAAGACGACTATGTAGATATAATGCTAACGACGTCTTCTTCAAGTTCATATCAAGGTCAGATAACCTTAGAAGTTACTGCTGTAAAGACATACTCTTGTAAGTTTTTATTTAAAATAGAACATTTCTTATTATACTATAAATATTGAAAAGTGTATGATACATAATTCAAACGATATACGAAAAAATTCATGTAGATATGATATATATACTTACATTATCAAATTTTTACTACCATATTTACTCTCCAACAAAAGAATCGCATAATGTTTTTCAACTTCGTATTGTATACTTCAAATCGGTTTTGGAAGCAATGCATTGGTATATTGAGCTAAAATTTCACAGAAAGTGACATAAACTGAACAAAAAAACATTCACATATATACGATAAATTGGGTCAATTGCCTGTCACATTAAAGTCAGTATCTATTGCAATTACTATGTGCGGGTATCTACTTGGCATGAATCAAATCAAATGATGTATTCGGACATGTGGTATCATTTGCACATTATTTTCCAACGCTTGGCTGAGTTGATATAATGAGTGAGGTGGGTATTGGCGTTGGCAGTCACGTATATCAATAAACTCACCATAGATACCAGGCTTACAATTTTATACGCCAGACGCGCGTTTCGTCTACAAAAGACTGATCAGTGACGCTCGAATCAAAAATGTTAAAAATTGTTCATAGTTAAGTATCATGATACATTTTGCGAGCTGATGGTAGCAACAGGCAAAAAATTTGAAAGAAAAAAAGAAACATAAGCTTTGATCTTTTTTATGATCTGCTTGAATTTGTTATCTACGACAAGATTTCAGGGCAAATTTTTGAAAATCATCGCAAAAAAGAAAGATCATCAAGGTTTGATGGACCGCAATGGAATATGTGTGTCACGGATATGTTCAAGTTGTCGCAGCAACACTTCCGTCCTCTTTTGTGTTTGGGGCAAAACCAAATGCGACTTATCACATAATATTTACTTGCTATGACAACATAGTCCAAATGAAGAGGATTTAAATAATTGTAGGTCACCGTGCGGCCTTCAACAATGAGCAAAACCCATACCGTAAAGTCAGCTATAGAGGGCCCAACATAATAAAATGTGAAACAATTCAATCGAACAAACCAGTGGCATGATTTATGACAAAATAATATACGAAAAACAAATATGACGGACAGCAACCATCAATATCACTGAATTGCTCCTGACTTTGGACAGGCACATATAGAAAGTGGTAAGGTCAAACATGTTTGTGAGCGCTCAACCCTCCTCTAGTCTGAAAAAATTGTGTAACATCACAACATAAGAACAAATTGTAAGAATCAGTTGGAAACGGCTTAACTCATCAGATTGACACGAAGCACGGAACAAATAACGAAGACAAATGACAAAAAGTATCGATCTAAGAGTACTTGCAGTTACTGGAAAGCTAGTTCAAAGCAACAATAGCTAATAAACAAATCATGTTCTTCAAGAATAAAGTTTGTTTTTATTACAAAATCCTAGTGCGTCTTCAAAAAATGGGTTTGATTCCTATGACAGGATGAGTCTTGACAACATGCGAAAATTGATTGGTCCATAAGCTCTATTCAATTATCGTATGCCTGACAGCAGACTATTGCAATAAATCGATGAGTATATTCATACCACCTTTTATTCCCCTGAAAGCTTTAGAAAAAATATACATGATTAGTTTCATCGGTTTTATCTCTATCAACAAGATTACAATTATGGAGGAACGATTGGTGGCGCTGTTGGTGGAGTTATCGTCATTGTTGCTGTATGTGTTGTCATTGGAATTGCTTGTAGAAGACGTTCATATGTAAGGACAACAACATATACAGCTCCAACTCCAGCTTCCACTGTTATTACACAGTCTGGGTCTCAACAAATGGGAGGTAAGCCAATTTGAAGGTGTTTGTTTGCTCCAATGGAAAATCAGAACTGCTATGTAGTAGGGGACTCAGTTAATCAGTCTTGTATTGTATTTTCATGTTTGATTTTCGCATTTGTCATGAAATATTTTTGTCTTTTCATGGCGAAAATCAATACAAATGTGTAAACAGAATGGAAAAGAAGGGACATTCGTATTCATTTATGACGAAATCCATACACACAATTCTTAAAACCAAAAGCAAAGGAACACCGCTTGCATTGCTGTCCTTCATCTCAAAGTCATACTAAGGCCTTCAAGATGGAGCAAATGCTCGCATCTTAGTGCAAGTTCAAGATATTTCCTAGTATCAGTTTGAGCTGAACGCTTTGACACCTGAAGATCAACTTGCATAGATCTGTTTTGGCGATTACAGTGGCAGGGAATTAACGAATAATCATGAACTTTATCGGGGAAAGAAACATAACAATTACTGTCATAAATTACGACAATCTCACAGAAAAATAACTACAATACAAAACATTTAAGTATTTACGGCGCACATCAAGACATATGTTAGATTACTTGGCAAGAAACAATGTATGAATATGGCAGATTGTATAACAATATCGATAAACAAACTTGTAGAAAAAGAGAAAATGCGGTAGTACACATCTTATAATTATGTGATCAGAATATAAATACGCCATAACTTTGAAAATATGAAAACATACACCTCAAACACGGGAAAACCTTTAACAGCCTCACAAAGCAATGGAAACAAACTCTTATTAATTTTATGAAAAAGAAAGAAAATGGCGAAATAATTCATGATGAAAAATCCCTACATGCACTTGACAAAACCCAAAGCAAAGGAACAACATTGATTTTAGTATCAATTTTTCTGTATATAACAGTAAGTTTTTAATATTCTTCAGGATACAGCAATCCAGGATACCCATCAGGCCCAGTGGCTCCTCCTGCGTATTACCCTCCATCAAATGCCGGTTACAATGCTCCACAACAGGGATACCAGAATTCGCCGCAATATCCAACAACTGGTCAACAACCACCTCCTTATCCAAGTACTACACCCCAACCTTATACATCATGAAAACCAACAACAAAACACTGATTATCTTTTTACATTAAGACTGTCATAGATTAATATTTTGCTTTTTAAAAACTGTATCAAATTATATTTGCATTGATTCTTAAGAGAACTTAATTCATATTACATGAACTGATGAATAATATATACTCCGAGTATTATGACAGGACGACTTTTTTACTATAGTTTATCAATCTCAAACCAGTTATTCGTCAGGCTTTTTTTTAAAGATGAATAAAATAAGAAGATGTGTTATGATTACCAATAAGACAACTATCCAACCGAGTCCAAATGACGAGGATGTAAACTACTATAGGTCACCGTTAGGTCTTCAACAATGAGCAAATGTAAGCTATAAAGGCCCAGATGCAACAAAATGTAAAACGAGTCACCAAAAGAAAAAAAACTAACGGCATGATTTCTGCTAAAGACAATAAATGAAAAACAAATATAGCAGACATCAACCAACGACAACCACTGAATTACAGGCTCCTGACTTGTGACAGGCGCATATATAATGTGACGGGGTTAAATATTTTTGTAGCGCTCAATAATCCCCGAACCAGCTTTTGTCAGTGGTGCAAAGGTACAACCTAAAAAACAGTTGGCAAGGGCTTGACTCATCAATTCGACATGAAACACAAAAAAATCATAACAAAAAGAAAAAAAAAATCAAAGAGTACTTTAATATTCCCAGTTACTAAAAGCTATTCAAAGCCAATTTAATTGTCCTCAAATACGTCGGTCAATCAAATGCAGCATATTGTTCCCTTGTATTGATAATCATGAGATCTATACATGATTTTGATGTGTCTCAAATGGCGCAAGATTCCCTTACAAGAAAACTTCAACTATGGATTTACATACGTGCATATTATAGTAGAATTGCTGAAAAGATGTATACACATGTACGTACCTAGAACTACATGGAGTATATCTCAAAGTTGATACGATCTTTTTATATTATGATTTACTTGATAAAGGGTTTCTGCTTATAAGGAATATACTAAACAAAGTGTGTGCAATTGTATAGTTGAAGTGATCTAGAAAGTGTAAAGGCCGCAGTTATGATTTGGTTGACCGTTATAAGATAGCTGTGTCACTGAAGACCACGGATATGTTCCACTTGTCGTAATCACAATCCTATTTTCTTCATTTATTCCACGTTGATAAATCTAAAATTTCCAACTCCTAAATGCATTCTTTTTGGCCTCTTATGGTCATACAGCTTCTAACCTTTTTACGTATTTATTATAGCCCTGGTTTCAAATGTTTAGATTTTAGCGTTCCTGATGAAGTTAAATCCAGAAAAGCGCAGCGGACACACGCAATTTGTAAAGTGGTATTCTTATTTTATAACATCACCAAATGCGACATAATACTGGATGTTTATTTGCAATGAGCAATACGACGGGTGCCACTGGTGGAGCAGGAATTCCTTAACCTTCCGGAGAACTTGAGCTCAACCCTAGATCTTTTATATAGGGACTTGCTTAATTTTTATGTGTTGAATGCTGTGATGTTCTATATTATTTTATCTATTTCTATGCTCTTTCTTAAACAAGTGGTTTTACCTTTTTAAACTAGTGGTCGTACCTTCTTAAACTAGTGGTCGTATCTTCTTAAACTAGTGGTTGTATCTTCTTAAACTAGTGGTCGTTCCTTCTTAAACTAGTGGTCGTACCTTCTTAAACTAGTGGTCGTACCCTCTTAAACTAGTGGTCGTATCTTTCCTTCTTCCTGAATATTTGTTTTTGATTCAAATTTTCACATTCTGTCATAAAAACCGTTAAGAGAATTTAAATGTAATGATAGTTTACAAATTTGGTAATGTCTAAGAAGTTTTACAATGAAGAATCAGATGATGTATAATACCTTATCACTGGTTATGTCTCAGCGGATTTTAACAGAAGTATCGCGACGGGTTTCACTAGTGGAAAAGCAACTGGTGACCCTTTCAGGTCATCTGAGTTCGGTCATAAAAACTGGAAAGAGAATTTATAAGTAACGATGGTTTATAAATTTGGTAATGTTTTAGGGTTTATCATAAGTCATCTAAGTAACCCCAGTTGTTTTGTGTTTTTTTTTTTTTCTTTCTCAATCTTGAGTTTTCTCCTAAGTAGTGTTTTGTGGAATGTTGTCTGCTCTTCGTCTTTTATTTCTATTGGCCTTGGTGTTGCTTGTTTTCTATAGACTGATGTTTTTTTATTGTCTCATTAGTGTCTTCCAAAACATATTTCTTATACACAATATGTGGGGTCTTCCTTTCAGCTTTGCTTGGTTTTTAAATACACAATCAAATCCGTTCTTACCAGAGACGTTAAATCCGCATCTAATGTGTTGGAACACACTGACAACACGTGTTTTCTTTATTTAGTTTAAATTGTCCGTCTATTCTTCATTTTTGGGGATTATATCTATTGATGATATTGAAATATTGTTCTGTAAAATTATGTTGGTCAATATTTTGTTAGCCAACGTTTGAAAGAAAATAAATGCCCAGAAGATTACAGTGCCTGAAAATGGAGTATATATCTCCCAGTTGATACGATATTCTAGCTTTTTTTAACGTTTTTATAAAACCCCTTTTAAATATATCAAAGATTTATATCTTACTATATAAATCCTTGAATGTATCTATAGAATTTCTGGACATTGTCTGGAATGTTAGTATATGCAACAGTACTATTTTGTTTTAAGTTTGTGACTGAGTGGGAACAGTATTGACTTGTAAGTAATATGGTAGAAACTCAAATTCGGAGCTTAATTCATTTTAAGGTATTCTTTGTTTCTATTTTAATTAAACGTGAATTAAAACTATTTCAAGTATAGTGTAAACATATTTGATTAAAGAATTCGTTATGTACAGCTACAAGAGTAAATACATAAATACGAAATATACTTGGGATTAGGAAACAAGAGCAGCGCTCTTATATACCGGTAAATCCGTCTCCCTAAATTCAAAAATAAAATTACGAAACTATGTTTACATGCTGAATAGCAAACGAATATGTACGTAACAAAATACAGTCAATGAATACAATAGTAAATAGAAAGTTCATTATTAGTTGTTATATATATAAAAATAGCTAAGGGATGGGGGTAAAGGTGTTTATAAAATTGAGAGTGTTATTACAGAAAGGGACGATTTTTCTTTATAAGGGAGGACTGAATAAATAGAATTATTAGATTGTGGATGTAAATCGATTGCTATTCATAATAAAGTTTTGCACAGCTTTGAATATAAATTTATTTTGATCTACTGTTAATCTATCGGAGCCAAAAAGTAAAGCATTAGTTGAAATTCTGATAGGAATTTCTAGGTTATGTACGTGTCTTTGACGAGGTACATTGAATATTTTACATTTTAATAAATAGTGTTCCGTTGTTTCTGTTTCTCCACAAACACACTTTGGGGATTGTATCAAGTTTCTGTCATAGAGGAGTTTATTGAGTACAATTAGTTCATGCTTATTCTTGCATGATACATTTGACAATACAGGGAACCACAATAATTAAATACAGGCTTAATGTCACGGTTACTTTTGAAATATTTTTTGAAGGCGAGAAGGGACGGACTATTTTGTAGTTCAATAGTCTGTGAGTTCAGGGATTTCACTGTTGGGGAGCGGAAATAGTTGGAGTATAATGTTATTCTTGTTGCAATAGGTTGAAAAGCATTAGCATTACGCGTATTATATTCATGTATATTACGGAACCGTTCATTTAAAATATTATTAAGATAAGTTGGAGTAATATTGTTAGTCATTTTGTACAAATATGTAAGTCTGTGGGCCTCTCGTCTATCCTTTAGTTTTTCCCATCCCGTTTCCTTATATAGTAAATTAATTGATGCTAACCGTGTTCCTCCAGTCACAATCCTTGCTGCCTCTATTTGGACGCTTTCTATTTTATGAATTAAAATTAATGTAGATGTATCCCACACTACATCGGCATATTCAAGAATTGGCCTTATATTAGAAAAATAGAGTTGTTCTAAAGTTTTTTCTGTTTAAAATTAATTTTAATTTTCCAAGGATACTAGTATATTTAAACGGGAATAAGCTTTCTTTACTATCATATCGATATGTGTGTGCCAAATACCGTCGTTTGTCAGTATCACTCCAAAATGCTTGTGTTCATTTACAGAGTTTAAAGGGAAATTATTCATGAAAAGCTGTGAATGAATTGGTTTTTTAAGTTTCTAGGATATGGTCATGCTCTCAGTTTTATTAGCATTAAAATTAACCAACCAATTCTCAGACCAATAGTGATTTTTTTTTAAATCTTCATTATTAAGCTTTAATGCTTCAGTTACTGGATTGTCCACTATAAGATACAGACTTGTGTCATCTGCAAAAAGTTTTATTTCTGAATGAATTTCAGTTACAATATCATTTATAAATAGCAAAAAGAAGAAAGGACCAAGGATTGGTCCTTGAGGAGCACCGGTATTAATGTCTCGCCATCCTGACGTTTTATAGTTAGTAACCAGTCGTTGCTTCCTGGCACTTAAATAGTCTTTGACCCAGCTAGGCAACTGACCTGTTATACCATTTGCTTCTAATTTACGAATTAATCCTTTATGACAAACTCTATCAAAAGCTTTACTAATATCACAAAATATAACCCGAATTTCCTTAGTCTCGTCTAAAGCCCTCCCAAATTCGTTTAACAAATATAATAATTGGTTGATAGCCGAGTCGCCAGGTGTAAATCCTGACTGGTTGTCTGTCAAAATCTTATTTTCAAGTAGGTAGTTGTAAATATGCTTATAATTATACACATCTTTCCATAACTTTACCGAGAACACTTATTAAGGAAATCGGTCTATTATTTGATACATCCGTAGGAGATTTTTTTTTTAAAACAGGAGTAACTTTTGCAAGTTTCCAGGAGTATAATAAAGTTCATTTGAAGATTATGAAAACAGGGAATTTATTTCTTTTATAAAACAGGTGTATATCATACTATTTATTTGAGGATGATCTCCTAATGCATAATAAGTGAAACATACACCGTATTCAAACTTTACATATGAAGATGTCACGAAGATGCGCATGAAGATAAGACAGCAATTTAAAAAAAAAATAAGGGTAAACTATTTCGCACGGGACTCTTTTTTTTATCAGAATGAAAGATTATTCGAAGTCTGACAAAATACTTCAAACGAACACTAGTATATAAAGCTTTACTCTAAAATAATTATATCGGTATAATACTAACAAAAACATAAGTACAAACAAACAAACAAAAACAATATCTCAAAATTTTCTTTCTGGAAATTCACAAAGTTCTATAGGACTTAGCATTAAAAACTGTGGTGGTCCGGTAAACCGTCGTGATATCTAAATTACATAAACGATTTTATTGAGGAGTCATCGTCGTAAACCAATTTGACCAGGTAGTAACTTGAATGCAAAAAAAGTAAAGAACGTATTGATTCAGTTGTAGTAATTTCCAATAACTGAAGATACATTGGCTCTATGTCACAGCTATAAGACGATTACATACTAGAGTAGGACCCCACGAAAACGATAGATGAGGTAACTGCATCATGGTTTGAGTGCCCTGAAAATGGCTTATCAACATTATTCCGTTATTTTAATTGACCTAACAATCCTAAACTAGCCAGCTGTATTTCCTCTCTATAGTGTGTGATAACATTTTGTGAGGGAATTCGATGTTTGCTATAACACGGTTCATTTCCTCTTATAATCATAATGAAAATTTGCAGTGTTTTAAAAAATGATTTTAATTTGTATCCATGTATTAGTTGTGAAACATTGAATGTTTTAAAAGGGCGAATCTGCATAAAGTCAATAATTGTGTAGACTTTTGAAGCCCAAACTTTCTATTGCCTTAAATACGCAAATAAAAGATCCGAAAACTATACCAATACAGAACAATTTTTTTTTGAAATTATAGCAAAACTTTTAGTTGACAAATTTTTATTCATTATTGCAAACAAGAGTGCACACGCTGAAATGTCTCGCCTGCTTTACTGACTATTGATTTTATGTTGAAAGTCTTAAAGATAAAGGTTTTACTTTAAGTATCAAATAAACTTAACATTTTTAAAGATCTATGAGAATGAAGTCAAGGTCAGATAAATCCTGTCAGACAGACATATACACCTTACAATTTTTTTTAAACACCAAATATAGTTGACCTATTGCTTATGGTAATTGAAAAACAGACCAAAACACAAACACTTATTTATAATAACATTGACCAATGAATCCTGAAAATGGGGTCCAGGTCAGATGATACCTACCAGACCAACATGTACACCTTACAATCAATCCATACAAATATAGTTGACCTATTGCACAAAGTACTTGAAAAACAGACCAAAACACAAAAACTTAACATTGACCAATGAACCATGAAAATGAGGTCAAGGTCAGATGAAACCTGCCAGACTGACATGTACCCATTACAATCATTCCATACACCACATATAGTTGACCTACTGCTTATAGTATTTGAGAAACGGACCTAATCACGTAAATTTAACCTTGACCACTGATCCATGAAATGAGGTCGAGGTCAGGTGAACCCTGTCTGGCGGACATGAAGACGTTGCAAGGAACCCATATACCAAATAAAGATATCCCATTGCTCACAATAAGTGAGAAATTCATATGACAAAAAAAAACTAAATAAAAAATTCAAGCAGTCGCTGAACCATGAAAATGAGGTCAAGGACAATGGAAATATGACAGACGGAAACTTTGTAACATAAGGTATCTGCATACAAGATATGAAGCATCCAGGTCTTCTACCTTCTGAAATATAAAGCTTTATAAAAATAGTTTACGCCGCCGCCGCCGGATAGTAATAGCGAGACAAAAAACATTTGTCTGTTTCATTATAATGTTATAATTAAAAAAAAATTAAAATAGTTTCCGCCGCCGGATAGTAATACCTAAGTCTGGCATACAGCAACAAAAGTCGCAGGCGAGACAAAAATGAACTTAAAATATGATCAAATATCTGTCATTTTCTCCCTACCCAGTTTACTTATTATGACGTGGACCGGTCAGTGTTAATGAATCATACGCAATTTGATTGGATTAAGTTAATATTAGTTTACCTTCAGACTGTTGATTTTTTTTCATACACGTATATTGATTAAATCAGTAACTTAAATAAACTCCAAACTGGACACTGGACGAGTCCATATTATTTTTTATCAATGAAACTAAAGGTATGAAAGGTAAGAATCGTCACTTCTTATATTTTCACAGAAATTTCCACATAGAGAGTAAATAAATTTTTTTTGATAGCTTCTTCCAGAGAAAAAAGAGAAAGTTTACAAATCAGACGTTTTATTCCATGAAACAAGTCATTTTTCTAAGTGAAATGCCGAAATACATTTACGCACGGCTACGCCAGGTATAATTATTGTTTATCTTAACAAAACAAAGTACACAAGCCGAAATGTCTCGCCTGTTTTACTGACCATTAATTTTATGACTACAAGTATCACATAAACTTAACATTTTTAAAGATCCATGACGAGGTCAAGGTAAGAAAAAAACTTTTACACAGACATGTACACCTTACAATTATTCCATACACCAAATATAGTTGACCCATTGCTTATGGTATTTGAAAAAGAGACAAAAACACAAAAACTTAACGTTAACTAATGAACCATAAAAATGAGGTCAAGGTCAGATTATACTGGCTAGACAGACATGTACACCTTACAATCATTCTATACACCAAATATAGTTGACCTATTGCTTACAGTACTTAGAAAACAGACCAAAAAAAAAAAATAACAATGACCAATGAACCATGAAAATGAGGTAAAGGACAATGGGCATATGACAGACGGAAACTTCGTAACAGAAGGTATCTGCATACAAGGTATGAAGCATCCAGGTCTTCTACCTTCTGAAATATAAAGCTTTATACAGTTTACGCCGCCGCCGCCGGATAGTAATAGCGAGACAAAAAACATTTGTCTGTTTCATTATAATGTTATAATTAAAAAAAAATTAAAATAGTTTCCGCCGCCGGATAGTAATACCTAAGTCTGGCATACAGCAACAAAAGTCGCAGGCGAGACAAAAATGAACTTAAAATATGATCAAATATCTGTCATTTTCTCCCTACCCAGTTTACTTATTATGACGTGGACCGGTCAGTGTTAATGAATCATACGCAATTTGATTGGATTAAGTTAATATTAGTTTACCTTCAGACTGTTGATTTTTTTTCATACACGTATATTGATTAAATCAGTAACTTAAATAAACTCCAAACTGGACACTGGACGAGTCCATATTATTTTTTATCAATGAAACTAAAGGTATGAAAGGTAAGAATCGTCACTTCTTATATTTTCACAGAAATTTCCACATAGAGAGTAAATAATTTTTTTTTGATAGCTTCTTCCAGAGAAAAAAGAGAAAGTTTACAAATCAGACGTTTTATTCCATGAAACAAGTCATTTTTCTAAGTGAAATGCCGAAATACATTTATGCACGGCTACGCCAGGTAAAATTATTGTTTATCTTAACAAAACAAAGTACACAAGCCGAAATGTCTCGCCTGTTTTACTGACCATTAATTTTATGACTACAAGTATCACATAAACTTAACATTTTTAAAGATCCATGACGAGGTCAAGGTAAGAAAAAAACTTTTACACAGACATGTACACCTTACAATTATTCCATACACCAAATATAGTTGACCCATTGCTTATGGTAATTGAAAAAGAGACAAAAACACAAAAACTTAACGTTAACCAATGAACCATAAAAATGAGGTCAAGGTCAGATTATACTGGCTAGACAGACATGTACACCTTACAATCATTCTATACACCAAATATAGTTGACCTATTGCTTACAGTACTTAGAAAACAGACCCAAAAAAAAAATAACAATGACCTTCTACCTTCTGAAATATAAAGCTTTATACAGTTTACGCCGCCGCCGCCGGATAGTAATAGCGAGACAAAAAACATTTGTCTGTTTCATTATAATGTTATAATTACAATTAATCCCAAACAAAAGTAGTCAGTAAATAAAGTCAAAATATGTCCGATCTGCCTATTTTTGGACATCAAAATTCATTACAATCGTTTTAAGATAAATTTCGTCTACCTCATAAAATCTTATTAGGCACTATAAACAAATTTGATTTAAAGATTAAATTGTGTTTACTTAAAAAGTTGTCATTTGGGTTGTTAGTACTGTCTACTGGTAGAATTAGTGTTCGTGTTTCAATACTACTATGTACATTTAAATAGCAGTAGATCGGGTAATTTATCAACCGTTTTGACAAGTTTTATATAAACTGATGAATCGAAAGTCATGAAGGTAGCCAGATCCACTGTGGCCAGATCTAGAACTATATTAACCGTATGTATATTTGTTTCATTAGATATTTCTATTGTAATTGAAATTTTTTATTCTGATTGTAATTATGGTAACTCAAGACTTTGATTCCAAAATATGAGTTTACCATGAGAGCACATTTCGTGCGAAAAATTTTACATATCTCTTGCAAATTCCAATACATGTAAAACAGTATTGCTTCATATTACCGTGTAGCGTTAAAAAGCGCCGGATTTCCATATGTAGCAGATAATCACATCTTGCCAGCATTCACAACTCGAACGTACAACTTGATAATACAGGACACAAACTTAGGATCTCTATAGATAGCCAGGCTTTTTTTCTTCTTTTAAACACGATATTAAATTTCTTGTACAATCTATAATTTATAAAAAAAAAATTGACTACACCATTTTATTACCGATTAAAAAATAACTTACAATATCTGATGAATGAATATTTTTGGATTTTGCGTAGAAGATAATATAACGGTCCTTAGAGTATCCCCTTGTTGCGTAACAGTCGGATAAACATTTATTGTGTCATTTTATAAGCGGCACGTATAATTCAGTCAAAATCTCTACTACGACGAAATTGACAACTGCCAGTAAAAGTTTTTCTGTCGTCTTTCTATTTTTTTTCATTTTCATGTTTGAATAAAATCGAAATCTTATTCTTTTCCTTTTTGAAAAGATTTCTCTTTTAATTTTTGTCAATTCGAAATAAAAATCTTCTTTCCTGCTGTTGAAGATCATCATCAGCAGCGCGTCGTTGTTGTTATCAAATGTGGACGGCACACCGAAAACCTTGTATAACCGACCGGGGGTATCTCATGTGTATATGAATCAAAGATGACACATGTCAATTCCAACCACACAAAAAAAACCTTGTACACTGTTTATCCCTACCCACATAGTTGATGCCTGTGTTTCTTGCTGAAGAAGTTAATTTTCAGAAACACGTTATGTGAAAATTGAGATAGTCAGTAGTATTAAATATCTTTGTTTTAAATTTTCTAAAAGTGGCTCATTTCTTTCCACCAGAAAATATCTACGTGAACAGGCGATTAAAGCAATGTATGCTATAATAAGAAAATCCATATTAAATAATATGTCGATCGAGTGCCATCTAGATATGTTTGAGAAGGCTATTGTTCCTATACTAACATATGAGTGTGAAATATGGGGATTCAAAAATTTAGATATTCTTCAGATAGTTCATTTGCGTTTTTGCAAGCATATATTAAGTTTAAAAAATTCAACCCCGAATTGTATGGGGAATTGGGAATATACCTTATTTTAGTTACCGTCAAGCCACGTATGATTAATTTCTGGTGTCGCTTACAAGAAGGAAAAGAGAGCACAATATCATGTTTATTACATAAGCTGTTGTATGTAAATCACAATAACTATGGTATGACAGTAAATGGTTATCCTATATAAAGAAATTTTTTGATGACTGTGGAATGTCAAATATATGGCAAAGTCGCAATTTATTTCAGAAACGTTGGGTCGTATTAAGTGTTCAGCTAAGATTAAGAGACCCGTTCATTCAAGAATGGTCAACAGAAATGAACAATTCGCCAAAGGGGCTCTGTTATAGATTGTATAAAAATGTTTTTAAATTTGAACACTATTTGTCAGTACTACCATTTAATTTATTAATAACCTTATGCAAATTTAGATGTGTGGGAATAATCGTTTGCCAGTTGAGGCGGGAAGGTGGCATAACATACCAAGATCTGATAGATTCTGTAACCATTGCGACTCAACTGACATCGGTGACGAATATCATTATATTCTGTCATGTAACTATTTCAAAGATGAAAGAAACTAATACTTACCACAAAATTGAAATAATAATATAAATGTTTAGTGTGACGTCCATTTTCACTGAACTAGTACACAATTTTATTTAGGGGCCAGCTGAGGACCACCTCCGGGTGCGAGATTTTCTCGCTGCGTTGAAGACCCATTGGTTGCCTTCGGCTGTTATCTGCTCTTTGGTCGGGTTGTTGTCTCTTTGACATATTCCCCATTTCCTTTCTCAATTTTATATTAAATTCAAACAAGTATGTTTAACCCGAAATTGTGTTGAGCTTGAGAAACTTTATAGATTTGTTAAATCTGTTTCTGTGAAAGTCTATCTATCCTCCTGGTTAAAAACAATTATATATTTATTTGACTTTTGTTCAAATATTTATTATAATATTATATAACAGTCATTTGTATTTCGCACATGCCATATTCAATATCTGTTGTCATTGTAATACTATCTTCTCTGTAACTTTGTATACGGTTTATGAGAATAAAGATCAATCATTCATTCAGTACTAATTCCACGTATCAAGTATACTTTTACACAATAGTTAACACTTTTTAATTGAATGCGTACGAAATTTCAACGCTTTCCTGGATTTAATTTCATCAGGAATGCTCAAAACCTAAACAATTGAAAGCCATGGATGTATAATTACGCAGAAACATTAGTAGCTTTACAATCAAACGGGATCTAAGAAAAAGGACCAACAAGAATATCCAATTGCATATAAGGTCAACTTTGCCTGAGGTGGTTTGATCATTAGTTTCTTAATAATTTCTCAATTTCTCAACAGGGAATTTTTGAAAAGTTTATGTTATAATAATCATAAAATTTAACATCCAATTATTTATTTTCAAGCATACTCAAGTTATGGAAGGTTATTTTAGGAACACGTCTATTTCGCCTAGTAATCGGTATATGCTCTCATTTTATTGTCATATATAGTTTATTTTTATATATTTGTATCATTTAATACTTTCATGTACTAGGCCTGGTCATAACTCGTTTTGATAAAATTTGAGGTTCACTTCCTTCTGGCAAGTTGATTTCCACCTTTCCCTGAAGGCCCCGTTTGGTTACATAGATTCCTGCGTGTTTGGATGGTCAAACAGTTAGCTTTTAGTATTCCATGTGAAAGCTTATCTAGGGATGCCTAGAATGGTACGGTTTTGATTCAATATGAGTGACTAATTCAAAAATCACATTTTTTTATAACATTTTTAAAGATTCTCCTTTTTAATTCATCTACAGAATACCTGGACATTGTTTGGAATGTTGGTATATGCAACAGTACTATTTTCCTTTAAGTTTGTGACTGGGTGGGAACAGTATTGTAAGTAATATGGTAGAAATTCAAATTATGTGCTTATTTATAGTTAAGATATTCCTTGGTTCCATTCTAATGAAATCTGAATTGAAATTATTTCGAATAATGAAGTTCATTTGAAGATTATGAAAAAAGGGACATTTTTTTTCAGAAACAGGTCTAGATCATACAATGTATCTATTTGAGGATGATCTCCTGTTGCATGAATAGTGTGTGGAGTAAACGACAACGAGACAGTTATCCAGCAGCACAAATAACCAAAAGATATTGTACATTGTAGGACTCAAAAAGTATTCAAGAGGGGTTTTGTCTAATGTTACTTGAAAATTACTTACTCTATGTCAATTAGAAGTGAGCTCACCAGACCTTTTGTATATCAATTAAGACATGTATATATAACAGTAGGCTGTTCTGTGCCTTGCTTTAGGTATTTGTGACACCAATCCTTATATAATATTGACAAAGTTGAAGAAAAAAGAGATATTTTTCTAATGTTTTCTAGTCAAATTTCCATCCAATTAAACTCTTACACGTAGTTATAAATAAATAGGATTAAAGAACTTGTTGTTTGAACAGCGAGTGAGCATACAATATTGTATAAAACATTTTTTTCAATCACACATAATACTTTTAAGGTTGATTTTAGTATATTTTAGCGATACTGAGTTTGTCTATAGTGTTAACAGCGACCATTCCTACATACTCTCTTGGAATGGTCAAAGACACTTTAAAAGGAGCGTAGTAACATTTAGTGGCTCAGATTCCTCTAGACCTCAAGATAGATACAAAATCTGCATTCAAGCTAAGCAATGGATATTATTAGTAGCTGGTATAACCATAAAATATTATACTGGAACTGGAACAAGTGCAAACTATAAACAGGTATGTTCTTCTTACTAAGCATTACTGTCTGTAACCTTGGAAGTCAACATTGTAAACACCTTACCCTATCCTTAGAATTGCTACTCATGTTTTATGGATACTTTTGGGACTGAAACAATCTTATTGAAATACAAATCATGTGTCTACGCTTCGCTTCTAAGCAAAGCATGGACCATTGGTGGATCCAGAAATTTTCATAAGGGGGGCCGCTCCAGTGATTCCCTAACCCCCCCTAAATCCTCCTCTGTGGAATCATAATCTGTAATTTAATCAGATTGGGACTTGAAGTATTTAGCCATACTTAAACATTTCCAATAATGTCAGTTCAATTCTTACCCTTTGTGTTTTATCTATAATATTCCGAAAAATGGACACATAAACATGTTATTTTAATTTTTACAATTCAGATACAGCTGGTATCATAAGAATATAGTCGTTAGCAACTGAATACTATCATTGCATTTGTAAAATTTATCAAACAATTTCTCTGCACATTTTAGTTCTTAGCTTGTTTTATACGTAATTTACTACTTAACTTAACACTAAATTATTACCAATGATTCAGGATTTTTTTGTCATGAGAGTATCGAAAACGAGACATCTTTTACTTCGTAGGTTTTTCCTTTTAAGGTAGAGAGGGTGTCTTCCTCCATCTTGGATTTTGAAATACCAGAAAACATTCGGTCTAGATCTTTAATAAAATGTGCAAATTTTGAGAGTAGTAGGTAATGCATGTGTAAGAATTTTAAATTCAATTTAGAAAATGACATGTTTTATCATATTTATAGTTGTATTTTTACAAAAAACAGAATACTTCTTGTTTGATTCATTTTTTTCCAACTTTACCATATAAGGGGAGGCAACACAAATGTAAGGGCAGATAATTCAGATAAAGTTACTTTTACAATAGAATGTGTTAGGAATTTACCTATTTTATTATGTAGCAAGAAAACGGGTCCCGTGACCCCATTTTTTATTTTTCTTATCTGAAAGCACAATATTAGAGCTATCTTCTCATATTTTATCTCAAAATTCTATGGTGTAGTTTTCGTTTTATGGCAGAAAATTGGGTTTTCCATGCATAATCTATACAAAATCTGTCAATTTTGCACAACCTGTAGCGTGAAAATAAGCCCCGTGACCCATTCTTTTTATTATTTTTTTTAAAAAAGCATGATATAAACTACATTTTGGCAAATTATTAAAAAAAATTATTGATTATAATTTAGACACCCCATCTACCTTAAGTTGGAAAAACGTAATTTATCGTGTCAATACCATTGTATTCTGAAATATAACTGTCTTCTACATATTATTATATTTCAATCTGTTTAAAATAAGAAAAACGTTTTATCATCCTTTAAGCATCCTAGCATTGTCAAGGTCATGAAATAGGCTGTTTTCCGCCAATCTGAGATTTTCACAAAAATACTACTCTAAACTAAAAGCAACGGCAACAGTTAGTCATGATACGAAATGAAGTTGAATGGTAGTATGTGTTTTATATTTACAGTCATTGAATGGAAATTCCGGTGACAATTTAAAGGAATGGTGTACAGAGGAAAGTGAATTCTTACATGTAGAACTGACTACACCAAATAAATATTACTCACAGGGATTGGTTCATTTACATGTACGGGCTGTTAGAACTTCCCACTGTACGTTTTATTTTACAAATGTGTATAATCTTACTGGATGGTAAGGTTTATAAACCAAGTTAGCAAGTCGTGAAAGATGATATTTTGCATAATGAATGGATAATTCATCAAGCATTTTCTAACTATACAGCGGAAAATCTTTAAACGAACTTACTTTAAATTTATCAAATATGAATAGCATTCAGTGGTCCTTTGTATGATTTGGATATTTCAGTTTCTCAAGGGAAATCATGTCTAAAATTTATGACAAAATAGATGATTTTTCATTCCCTATAGTTAATTTTCCTATTTTGGACGATATTGTTCCCCTGACCATCTCTTATTAAGTCAGGGATTTCGTTAACATAAATTACTTGAAACCATAGATTGTCTATATGTGTCGTTCAGACATACTAGTAGAATCCTTTAAGGATCTGTTCACTATTATTAAAGGCTTTGTGGGCACAAATGTTTGTTATATGTTGATTTTAAACGAAATTTCAGTAATAGATAATTTTAGAATTTCAGTGACGACTGATTTCGATTACCTTAACGTTTGTCATGGTTTTATTACAGTTCCCAAAAATGGTGAAATGTTTACCTGCTGTTCGGATTTTGAAAGCATATTTATTCTATTGTATCGTAATATTTTCAGTCCTCATATTCATATCCGTGAGATATCCTTTTTAGGAAGACAAAGTATCGTGATACTCTCGGAACGATTATTGAATTTTATTCCAGATCAAAATTTTAAAGAAACGGTTGTTGTAGCAATTATAGGGATGGTGGCTTATCTGATTCTCATTGCAATTGTTCGGGTTTTAAGAAGACAGCAGCACATACAAAGATCATCTTATGGGATTAAAAGCACTGCTCAAACACTTGGTAATGATAAAATCATATTAATAGAAACTTAGGAGTCGGGTATCAATGTTCACATGGAATGAATCGACTGTGATTTATTTTCATCCTGCTTCTTCGACACATTTACCATGCGATTTACAAATGTTTAATCTCACTCATTAACAATTCAAGTACAGTTTTTTTTTTACTTTTTGACAATACACTGATTTTTCTTAATTAGAAAAATATGTGCTCATTAAAAAAAAACACTTTCCTCAAGACTGGTACGACCTAAGAATAGTATGTCAAATTATCATAAGTACGACTTATCATTGCAGCTCATCGAGGAATCCATCAATCCATTTCGGATTTAGGTTCTTATCATGAGTGTATTCTAGTAAAAACGATTGCAACAAAAAAAAAATATCCGTCAAAAAAGTTCGAAACTAAGTACATTTGTACGCATACTAACATATTTTTTTGCTGGAATTTCAATTTAAAACTTGACAAGTTTTTTTTTATCTTCGAGTTCGTTGAAAATACAACTAAAACGAAGACATTGCTTTTCTTATATTTATGTGTTTGTTTATTGTTTCTTTGTTTTGTTACTTTGTTTGTTTATTTATAACAACATATTGTTAAGATTTTACATGTCTATATTTATTATAACAGAGTATACTGTTATCATTTTTACATTATTCATATGATATAAATTCAATATTTAAACTTTGTATCCAGAAGTTTGTGAATTTTCAAACATTGAATCTATGTCTATCACACAGGCAATTTCAGTCAAGGACAATCATACATCACAGATCCATCAAGAGAAATCCGACCATATTACAGTCAATTCAGATGACATCCATACCAGGACAAGAAAAGCATTGACTACCACATCAACAGAAATAGGGTTCATCTCAGGTTACCCTGTAACATAAACGTTATATTAATGTTATGTAAATTATATTGTTTTATTATCTTTAAATACAATTCTTATTTGGTTTTATTGTCTAATTAGTGAACATTGGTTTATAAGCTCTTCATTTTTTAAATTTAACTTTGGATTTTCAAATAGTTTGGCCTCGAGCATCACTGAAGAGACATTGTCGAAATGCGCATCTGTTGCAGAAAAATTGGTACCGTGAATATTATTATATGAATTCTATACATTCCTTTGATTATATTTAATTTAAAAGAGAGGCGGAAGATATCATAGTAATATTCAAACTCATAAATCGATAATGACAACGCCATGGCAAAAACAAAATACTCACCCCCCCCCCCCAAAAAAAAAACCAACGAACAAACAACCTACAAAACACAACATAAATATGGCGATAACTATTAATGCTATGCTAATATTTGACCTTGCTACACATAAAAACGTTCAAGAATGCAATTTTTCGCCTTTGGTAGATATTAAATCAAACGTTGTCAGCTCAAGATTGCCATAGAAGCGGTAGACCACACAATGTGACACATCAATACTCCAATATGTATCCGATCGTTCCATCTCCGTAATTGAACAGTATGCAGGCGTTTTGCCCATGCATGTGTTTATGAATTTGACAGAAATGGCGATGGAATCAACACGACAAAAAATCGGGGTTGATCTTAGGTGCTCCGGAAGGGTAAGCAGATCCTGCTCCACATGTGACACACGTCGTGTTGTTAATGTAAGATAAATTTGGAAATAAGTCTTATTCGGTGATGTCACAATAGCGGTAAAGAGGACGGAAATCTTCATCTATAAAACAGATATTATATAACGGTCAACCAACTCGTGATGGCATCCGTAAAAAAAATCGATTGGACAACTTCAACTTTACCACATGGAACCCTTTGTTCAATAGCTTCGTTTTAAGCAGAAATCCTCTTTCAATCAATTATGACAATAAACACAACCTCTGGAATATCTTATCAACTGGGAAATTTTATCCTCCATCAGAAGGCGCTGCTGAAATGTTGCTACACAGACATCGAAAGTTCACAATCGGAAAGATCAAATCATCTATGTTGTTCTCAACCGAAATTATGTATTAAATGTGACTTACGTACACACGATGTTGTTTGGGGATTCATCGGTGGGGACAATAATACATTTGTTATGGAAGTAAAACCGGTGCTTAGAAACATTTGGGTCTTTGAAGATCGTAGTATATAATTATTCATAGACCCATTCAGTTTTCTTAATTCTTATTTGTATAGACGACCTTACAGCCTTGAAGAATATCTACGTCTTGTATTTCTCGTTTTTATATAGTCCATTGTCTTGCATATTTCTCGACTGCATGAATCCATTAGTATTTTAAAGTTGTGTTTCCATTGATGGATTTAGGCTTACGGTATTTTCGGGCTTTTGGATAACACATAGTCAGTTCGAAGAGAAGTCATTGACAATGTTCAGGTTACCAGTAATAACGTGGCCAGCCGGATTATATATGAATGGGGAACTTTCACAGGTGCAGTCAGGAAGTTTAGACTCGAAGTCGTCAATGATTGAGCTCCTGCAACACGAGTTTGTAATGGAAAAAAATAGTCGCAATTGGTTTGGTATAGGTACGGATTGGTATTTAGAGTAGGGACCCATTCTTTTCGATTGAACAGATTTATGATGAAGGGTATTGTCTTAATTGATGATATCGAGACATTTTTTGCCAAAGGAATTTCAAAGTTTTAGAAAAGACCGTTTCACCTTTTCCGATGCAATCTTTTTAAATATGCACTCTACCTTGTGTAACGTTAATTCAATTTGAGAAGTGATTTTAATAAGACGAAATGGGGGTAAATAACAACGAAATGAAAATGAAAAGACACCAAACGTCATGAAGCAGACGTATTTGTGATATGTCCTTGACATCAAGTTCAAGTGGAATATCTGCAATTAGCGTAGTCACCAAACTATTTTTTAGTGATAAGACATCAACTTTTAATCGAAATATGAAGTTTAAGGAAAGTAGAAGCATCTTTCATTCTTCTTGATCAGTCCCCTTAGTTTCTTAGTATACAACCAAGGGCAAAGGTAGGCGTTAAGGGGATCATAGTTGTTTTCTATTGATTAGCCGACTCAATAGACTATTTTCATATTATCGACTTTTGACACAGGATTATATATTTTTTCGACAGGTTTCCTACTCTGTGGTAGGACATCATGGTACTCTGTCAAGTAAGAGCAGCCAAAAGAAGTAAAATCAAACATAGAATTGGTACAATTTGTGTGGAAAGTTTACTCTTTTCCGATGATTTTGTCGTGTATAGAAAACACAAAACACTGAGTTAATTTCCGCTCAAAATTGTACCGATGGAAAGCTTGATTTTACTTTTTTACCTTGCTCTTACATGACCGAGTACTAGGATGTCCTACCACAGAATCAGAGGCACTTGTCTCTGAAAAAAAATGTTTTCCTATAAACCTTAATATAACACAAGGTACTTAACTCGCATTTTTGAAAAATGAAAATCGGTCCCGAACTTTCGTCATATTTCTATTCCTCGGTTGTCTACCCAACTTAAACTTGTTATGTCGTAAATCTACATTGATTTATCTACAGAATGATGTATGACACTCCTACCTTTGTTGTCGGATTCATTCGTAGCAGGCCTCACAATTATGTCAACCGTAATTATTTCGTCTTCTCACAGCCCTTTGGAAATGTAAATCTCGCAGTAAATGGTTAATTATAATTTTCCGTTTGGTATCTTTCCCCTCTCTTATGCATATCTCGGTTTCCGATTGGTCAAATCTTATTGTTTAAAAATTTTTTTTTTTAGTTATCTCAATTCTATATGTAATGTCCAGAGGGAGTCTGAAGACATTAATGGAATGGGAAAATTTGAGTCTTCTAAAAATAGAAATTCGGTACTCATTAGACTTAGTAATACCTCAAATAACACGTATTAGATTTTTTCACGGAATCTTTTACAAATTTACTATCTGAGTAATTAGTTCTTTCAGAGAAAAACTAACAGGTTTTAGGGAAATACTTTTTATTAGAATATAGCAAAGTGCTCTCGACCAATGAAATTGTAGAATTTGATGTCTCTTAATTGTGAAGAATGAATGTAAATCATGTTCTTAGTGTCGGTTAGTGTATGGAAAGGTATATACTATGAAATTTAGAGCGAGGGGCTTGCCCCGAGCTCTTAATTTCATAGTATATACCTTTCCATACACTATCCAATTTAGCACATATTTACAACTTGAGTAATCCTGTAATTAGTCTATTGATATGTTTTGGCTGACTAGGTGTAGCTCATGTACGTAGTTTTGTAAATCTACTCACTAGTATCATTGTAAAATATTGAATCCAGAATGAAAAGATGGTAGCTGCTGGTGTAAGTATGTTTATTGACATAAAGCGGTGTTTTACTATTCATGTACTTCTTCACATGGTAAGATGACAAAATAAATTGACCAAAAGCAGGCAATAATTAAATTGCAGTGGAAGCTTTACAATCTTGAAAACATTTTTTTCAATTTCACCTAAAAACTAAAACTATAATAAATTTTACACATATGGATAGTTTGCACTGGCGGATCCAAAAAGGGGGAGGGGGAGTTCAGGAGGGGGATGGAAAACGCCCTTTTTGTGATGATCAATGCTTTTGAATGAGGACATACAGTTGGACCCCCCTTTTATCTTGGGTTGGAACCCCTTTTAAAAATGACTGGATCTGCCCTGGTATGTACCCATAGGTAGTCTAGTGGATAGTTTACATGCATGAAATATTTGTCACTGGACATTAAGCAACCAATAATCAATCAATTCATGACGAAATATATCAAATTGCTGTAATTTTCCTTCACAAGGTTTCATGGTTCACTCTTTTTTGTGTACAAAGTAATTGCATGGAAGATAAATGATTACAATTTTCAGATGGCGTTGTACTCTAATCAAGGTATAAAAAAAAACATATGTGTTACTCTTTATTTAAATGAAAGAAACTTTTAATCGTCAAAAACATTTTTAGATCCAAAGATTAAATAGTAGGATGTTTGAAAAACAATTTGAAAACTAGTTACACACTATTTAGTTTAATTTGTAACACAGCATTTATTTCAAAATAGCCAGTAGCATTTTTTGTTTTAATATCTTGATTACGATACAATGAAATCTTACCCTTGTGGTCATTCATGCGTAGTTACTTAGTACATGGAAAAAGTATGTACTATGAAAATTAGAAGGCAAATATAAGCAATTTGATTGGACGAGAAGTTGTAAGTATGTGCTAAGAGAATGATAATCCCTTACTTCATGATAAGTACTCGCTAACGCTCGTACTTATTCATGAAGAAAGGGATTATCATTCTCTTTCATATACTAATTAATCATTCACTGCGAGATTAATATTGCTTAAGGGCTGTGAGAAGACGAAATAATTACGGTTGACATACTTGGAAGGCATATTACGAATGATTCCGATATTAGAAATAGGCGTGTTATACACCATTTTGTAGATAATTCAATGTAGATTTACGGGATGACATTTTTCAAATATACGAGTAAGGTGCCTTGTGTTATATTAAGGTATATAGAGGGAAAAATTCAGAGACAAGTGCCTGTGCACAGAATAGGTAACCTGTCGAAAAAACATAAACTCCGGAGTGAAAAGTCGGTAATATGAAAATAGTCTATTGTCAGTGGCAAACATTCTAAATAAAAGTATCAGATTTTTTTCTTCATATATCCTTAGATTAAACAAGATATTTGTATCTACGTTGGTCAAAATGTTTTTCATGAAATTTAAAAACCTGTCTAAGAATATAGAAGGCGCTGTTTTAATGAAAAGGATTTTCAAATATTAGGAATCTGTAATTTTAAGGAATCCACATCTGATTCTAAAAACTTTGAAGTGACCAATTGGATATAACTCTTATAAGTAATAATCGGAGGTATTAAACCTGTTTTAAACGATTTTCTATCTTATTATTTAAAATTTCAAAATGATAGCCGAACTGCCAGAAAAATGTAAAAAGGGCAAAAACTCCTATTAGTGGTTCATT